TTTTTCCAGGTCTGACACAAAAAGAAACAATGGCAAAAAATGTATCATTCATTAAAGGACATACTTTTCCCTATAGAAGTTTTTAGCACTGTAGCCAAATAATAAAAATAAAGTTTTCTCTTCAATCAAGATATATTGGGTGTGATTCAATAAGGCATTTGCAACACATCTCCTGCAGTGTGAATGTAGTCAGAAGCCTTGTGCCAAATTCATGAAACCGGTGTGACATTTTCATTGTTAGTATTGATGTGTGTGACAAATTCATTTAGTTCTTATATGTGACAGCTTTACTATTTGTTGCTAGTGTTAAAATCATGAAAAAATACCATGATATCAGTGATAAGAAAAGCAGAAACTTCTTCCATGTTAGAGTATATTTTATTGCATATGCAAGCATTGTGTTGCAGACAAAATTCTGTCTTAGAGAAAATTCTTCTGAGGCCATTCTGTGACAGTCATATACACCTTACTGACACATACATGAATCTGTCACAAGATGCGCCCTTTGTTGCACTACCACAAGACATATTTCTAATGAGTATCTATGACACTCTATATGAGTTTTACAGATTGTCACTCTCTGGTAACTTCAATCAAGACCTCTATTATGCTGCTTGAGCATGCTATTCAGTTTGGTGAAACCACAGCAGTTGCTTCAGAAGCCATACCTGGTTTTAAGATTGTGGTAAATAACTTGGAATGTGATCCTCGCTCCTGGGCAGGGGCAGTGGTGCTATGCTGATGTTAGTGTACAATTTTAATTAGATGCAGAGTGCTCTACAGGTTTAGAGCTGTGGCACTGACTTCTGGTGTATCCCTGTCTCTGTCAACATTTGTGGGCCAGATTACAGTTTAAACATTATTATTATTACAGGTACTTACATAGTGCCGTCAATGTACACAGCGCTTTACACATGTATATTGTACATTCACATCAGTCCCTGCCCTCAAGGAGATTAAAATCTAAGGTCCCTAACTCACATTCATACATGCTAGGGCCAATTTAGGAGCCAATTAATCTACCAGCATGTCTTTTGAGTGTGGGGGGGGAAACCAGAACACCCGGAGGAAACCCAAGGAGGCACAGGGAGAACATACAAACTCCAGGCAGGTAGTGTCATGGTTGAGATTTGAACCAGCAACCCTCGTGCTAACCACTTAGCCACTGTGCTGCCCCACATTCCATCTCTACCAGTAGCACATTCCAGATTTGAGTTCTGCATTAGAGTATTGCCCTCAAAGACAATGTTTCGGCATAACCACTGGTGTGACCTAGTCTTTCAATTCTTAGTCCATGACAAATACTTTTGGGCTATTGATTAAGGTTTTTTTCCTTAGCTATGTTTTGGAATCCCTACTGCATCCCACAAATCTATGTCTTGAGGATTACTGTAAATCTAGGGGCATGGCACTAATGTTGGTGGGACTAGGCCTCTGAAACCTTACATCATGAGAAAGTGCTATGACTTTTTTTAGTAAATGTAGATAATATAAAACAAATTAATCCACTCACATGCTTTTAACTGCCAGCGTGCCCATAAAATACCAAACATCAGTGGAGTCCAAGCTGGTCTGGCCAGGAATCTTCCTCATATCCCCACTGTAAGCTCCCTTCACATGGGCACTGTTGTGCCACCAAGCTCTTCCTGGATGTGTTCTGTCCTACAGCTCAGCTTCCTGAGCTCCCTGCAAACCACTTGTGCACATAGCTATTGCTGCTGCAGGAGTGCTTTGCTTCGTTTCCTCAGTAGACCAGCACAACAGTGTTCAGACCCATGTGGAGGGAGCTTACAGTGGGGGAATGAGGAAGATTCCTGGCCAAGCCACCTCGGAGTCTACTGATGTTTTGTGTGTTATGGGCACACTGATAGTTTGGAGCATATGAGAGCATAATTATATCTGCATTTAATAAAGTGATTAATTGCATTATGATATGCGCTTCCCTTGTCTTTCTATTTTCAAGTTTTCAACATGTCCTTGTCATGACAAAAGGGATAGCTGCAGTCGTCTAGGAGCTTCCAAGAGTGCACTGCAGTTAATGTGTTTTTTCCTACTGGAACACCTGAGTGCATAATAAGGATCATTTGTTTATCATTTGTAAACAAATGAGTGATTTTTCCATTCTAAGGCAATTTATTGACTTTTTGTTGAAATAAGTAATCTCATCCCGTCCAATTGCCCTTTTGAGGGACTCAAGGCATAACATGAAAAACCTTTTTCTAGGGTTTTTGTAAAGGATTTATAGATATATAATCTACATTTCTGACTGTTATGTAATTAATTTCTTGTTTTGTGGATGTAATGGGGGACTAAAAAACTGGTGCACTCAGAATATTGTGCAGCTGTTCATTGTAGCCAATCAGCTTCTAAGCTTGTTCAATTAAGTTTTGTCAATAAAACCTGGAAGCTGATTGCAAATCTGCATCAGATTTTGCACTTTCCATTTCTAGTAAACCCAACCATTTTCTGTCCTTGCTTTTTCCCTTAAATCAAGGATTTGGTATACTAAACTTTTTCCTCCACACCAATTTTTTACATTTTTTTGTGGCCTACATTTCTTTTCGTGTTTGGTTATTTTTAACCAAACAACTAAGCATCCACCATCAGGGAGCTATGTGTATATTAAAAATATATACACATAGCTCCCTGATGGTGGATGCCTAGTTGTCCTTCACATTGTTTGGTGAAAGCTTATGGCTCCTTCAATTACCAAGAGTTTCCTCTTAGAGATTATAAATTCTGAACTATCAGGCTGCATTTGCTTGTTCTTCATTGATAATGTCAATCTTCAACTTGGTGGTTGTTATTCATAATGCTTCATCCAGTACTGTTGCTAGTTGAGTTCCACATCTGCAGTTTTTTTCTAGTGTTTTGGACTCATTTGGACTGTTATTGGGTGTCCCACATGTGATCGAAGATTCTTCAATCCTATGTTCCTCTATGGACTCCCAGAAAAAGATTTGCAGTGAGTATAGAAATCACATTTTTTAAAGTGTATAATATTTAAAAAATAGTATGCAATAAACTCCTTCATTTTAACAGGATGTACCCATATCACAGAATTCAAATTGTGAGGGTTTTGTAAAGTGGAACAGCAGAAGCTGTTGGTTTTCAACACTCACCCTTTCTCCATCTGAAAACAACAGGCAGAAAAAGGGGAACAAGCCTTTCTTCTGTCATATAATTGTATGATTAAGTTTTACTTTGAGCTATTGAAATCTGTAAACAGAAGGATTTTATCATAAATGCACTAAAACAGTAAGCTAGAGTGCCACCTCTTGGCTCAATGTGTATATAATTTTTATTTACTATTTCATATTTATCTGATTAAAGAAAAAAGTAAAAAAAGTAAAAATACATTCCCATTATAAGCAAACTAAATATAAAAATTAAAAAACATTTAAATAAATGTATTACTTCAGGTTTAAGGGGGGGGGGGGGGTCCTCTTTTTTGGTGGGACTTTTATGGCACAATTTAATTGTATGATAAATTTCAACAATTCAAAAGAGATTTTGTCAGGAATGGACTGGTCAGCAATAGTGGGACTCAGCTGCCTTATGAGCTGCAGTACCAGGGCTGGCCAGCGGGGTGCTCCCAGCAATCAGAGACTCAACCTTGCAGCCAGTCAAACACCTGGAACTAATTATACTGGTGTATTTAAGGGACATTCAGACCTGCAGACTCTGCCTTGGTGTTGTGTTTCTCTTGGGGCCCTGTATCCTGTTCCTGCTCTCTGTTCCTGTCTGATTCTCTGCTGACCCTGCTCTGATCCCTGGCTTGTCTGACCATTCTCCTCTGCCTGACCCTCTGTACCACGCTGCCCGCTACCTGCTGAACCTGGCCTGTGACCCCGACCATTCTCCGCTTGCTCCCCCTGTACCTACCTGCCCGACTGATATTGACCCGGCCTGCCTGACGACGCTTGCATTGTATGTACTGTTATCTGTGGGTGGTTGGTTGGTTTGTTTGCACTGTGTTATGTTTTAGTATTGCACTGCGTTTATGTTTGTATGGTTAGTGTTAATAAATTACATTGTTTATAACATATCTGAAGTCTGCGTTTCCCTGCGTCAGTCACACACCTCTGGTCATACCCGGAGCCCTGACATTACACCAAGGCCAATCCTGACCAGAAGTGGCTGCACAGGGAAGCCATCTTGGTTTGTTGATGGGAAGGATGGATCTCGATGAGGTTGCGTATTTATATCTGCTAGTGTTTGATGACAGGGAGTATGCTTATCAAACTCTGAAGGAGTATACCCGGGATGAACTGCTAGAATGTATAACGGCTCGCTCATGTTCTAGTAGATCAGGGCACAGAGTTCTCTGAGGTGCAGCCTTTGATTGAGGTTTGTGCTGAGTTGGTTTCATCTGGTACCCCCGAATGCAGGGATGAATTTTTGCCACCATTTAGTGCAGACCAGGTAGAGTCCCTGGTGTGGTTATTAGAGGATGATGTGGGTTACTTTCTGGAGCGTTATTCCACATGTTCACCACAGATACTAAGAGATTGTATAAACGCAGTGCAGTCTTTGGTCAGACAGGCTTTGTGTAAGCTCAGCTTTGTTCAACCCATACTGCAGACATGGACAGACTTGTTGCACCCAGCCTCAGTCAGCTTACAAAAACCCAGTCCTGTTTCTAATCTATTTCCTCAAAACTCTATTCCTGCATTCCCAACAGCTCCTCCTGCCCTGCTATCTACCGCATGTCAGTACCCTGTTCCCACTCGCTGCACCTATCCTGCCTTTAACCCTGTAAAAAAGCCCTCTGTAGCAACTGCTCCCTCTCCTGTTCCATCCTCCAGTTCTTCTCTGTCTCCAGCTGCTCCATTCGTTTGCAGACCTGCGTTTACTTGCAGTGCTCCAGTAGTTAAAACCAGAAAAAAGCGAAAATTCTTTCCAACCAATACCATCCTGCCAGTATCCAAATCGGTGAACCTGCCTTCCGTGGTTCAGCCTGAAGCCTCTACTCAGCCTGAATCCTCTACTCAGCCTGATGCCTGTACGCAGCCTGATGCCTCTACTCGGCCTGATGCCTGTACGCAGCCTGATGCCTCTCTTCAGCCTGAAGCCTCTACTCGGCCCGAAGCCTCTACTCGGCCCGAAGCCTCTACTCGGCCTGAAGCCTCTACTCAGCCGGACGCCGGCATTCAGCCTGATGCCTCTACCCAGCATGATGAACTGATCCAGCCTGACGATCCTATTAGGCCAGTTGACTCGATGCCCGCTGTTGATCCAGATGATCCGGTACCTGATCCGGTGCCCGCTGTCGTGCCAATTGACTCAGAGCCTGCTGTCGTACCTGGTGACTCGGTGCCCACTGCCTTGCCAGATGACGCGGTGCCCGCTGGCGAGCCAAATGACCTGATGCCTGGTGACCCAGTGCCCGCTGTCATACCTGGTGACCCGATGCCCGCTGTCGAGCCAGACAATCCAATGCCTGGTGACCCGGTGCCCACTGCCTTGCCAGATGACGCGGTGCCCGCTGGCAAGCCAAATGACCTGATGCCTGGTGACCCAGTGCCCGCTGTCATACCTGGTGACCCGATGCCCGCTGTCGAGCCAGACAATCCGGTACCTGATGACCCGGTGCCCACTGTCGTGCCTGTTGACTCGGAGCCCACTGCCTTGCCAGATGACGCGGTGCCCGCTGTCGAGCCAAATGACCTGATGCCTGGTGACCCGATGCCCGCTGTCCAGTCAGACGATCCAATGTCTGACCCAGTGCCCGCGGTCATATACAGTTGACTCGGAGCCCACTGCCTTGCCAGATGACGCGGGTGCCCGCTGTCGAGCCAAATGACCTGATGCCTGGTGACCCGATGCCCGCTGTCCAGCCAGACGATCCAATGTCTGACCCAGTGCCAGTTGACTCGGAGCCCACTGTCGTGCCTGGTGACTCGGTGCCCGCCGCTTCGCCTGGGGGCCCGAGACCTGTCGCTCCGCCTGGGGGTCCGGCGCCCGCCGCTCCGCCTGAGGGCCCGAGACCTGTCGCTCCGCCTGGGGGCCCGAGACCTGTCGCTCCACCTGGGGGCCCGCGCCCGCCGCTCCGCTCCGCCTGAGGGCCCGAGACCTGTCGCTCCACCTGGGGGTCCGGCGCCCGCCGCTCCGCCTGAGGGCCCGAGACCTGTCGCTCCACCTGGGGTCCGGCGCCCGCCGCTCCGCCTGGGGGCCCGATGCCTGTCGCCCGCCTGGGGGCCCGATGCCTGTCGCCCCGCCTGGGGGCCCGGTGCCCGCCGCTCCGCCTGGGGGCCCGATGCCCGTCGCTCCGCCTGGGGGCCCGATGCCCGCCGCTCCGCCTGGGGGCCCGATGCCGGTCGCCCCGCCCGGGACCCGATGCCGGTCGCCCCGCCCGGGGGCCCGATGCCTGTTGCCCCGCCCGGGGCCCGGTGCCTGTTGCCCCGCCCGGGGGGCCGCTGCCTGCTGCTCCACCTGGGGGCCCGCTGCCTGCTGCTGCCCACCTGGGGGCCCAGTGCCTGCTGCTCCGCCTGGGGGCCCGGTGCCTGCTGCCCCGCCTGGGGGCCCGGTGCCTGCTGCTCCGCCTGGTGGCCCGCTGCTTGCTGCTTCGCCTGGTAATCCGATGTGCCTCTGCCCGGAGTCCTGCCTGATGTGCCTCTGCCCGGAGTCCTGCCCGATGTGCCTCTGCCCGGAGTCCTGCCCGATGTGCCTCTGCCCGGAGTCCAGCCCGATGTGCCTCTGCCCGGAGTCCAGCCCGATGTGCCTCTGCCCGGAGTCCAGCCCGATGTGCCTCTGCCCGGAGTCCAGCCCGATGTGCCTCTGCCCAGAGTCCTGCCCGATGTGCCTCTGCCCAGAGTCCAGCCCGATGTGCCTCTGCCCGGAGTCCAGCCCGATGTGCCTCTGCCCGGAGTCCAGCCCGATGTGCCTCTGCCCGGTGTGCCCTGACCGGAGTGCCTCTGCCCGAGTCCAGCCCGATGTACCTCTGCCCGGAGTCCTGCCCGATGTGCCTCTGCCCGGTGTGCCGCTGCCCGGAGTTCTGCCCGGTGTGCCAGTCTTTGATATCCCGCCAGTTACCAGACCCGGGCGGTGGAACATTTTGCCCAGCTAGGACTGAGGCCGCTCCTTGAGGGGGGGGTATTGTCAGGAATGGACTGGCCAGCAATAGTGGGACTCAGCTGCCTTATGAGCTGCAGTACCAGGGCTGGCCAGCGGGTGCTCCCAGCAATCAGAGACTCAACCTTGCAGCTAGTCAAACACCTGGAACTAATTATACTGGTGTATTTAAGGGACATTCAGACCTGCAGACTCTGCCTTGGTGTTGTGTTTCTCTTGGGCCCTGTATCCTGTTCCTGCTGTGTTTCTCTTGGGCCCTGTATCCTGTTCCTGCTCTCTGTTCCTGTCTGATTCTCTGCTGACCCTGCTCTGATCCCTGGCTTGTCTGACCATTCTCCTCTGCCTGACCCTCTGTACCATGCTGCCCGCTACCTGCTGAACCTGGCCTGTGACCCCGACCATTCTCCGCTTGCTCCCCCTGTACCTACCTGCCCGACTGATATTGACCCGGCCTGCCTGACGACGCTTGCATTGTATGTACTGTTATCTGTGGGTGGTTGGTTGGTTTGTTTGCACTGTGTTATGTTTTAGTATTGCACTGCGTTTATGTTTGTATGGTTAGTGTTAATAAATTACATTGTTTATAACATATCTGAAGTCTGCGTTTCCCTGCGTCAGTCACACACCTCTGGTCATACCCGGGAGCCCTGACAGATTTTTTTATAAAAACAGTATGAAATTTTATTTTTACAATCTTCAAAAATAAATATCAAGATACAATACATATTGCGGTGGTGTCATCAGAGATGGTATTGCAAATCTAATCATGGATCATGCATGGTTCGCACTTGACGCATTTCAAGATCACCAAAAATCTCTTCTGCAGAAGTGCTCAAGAAGGCATGACATATGATTCCATGTGAAGTAAAAACTTTCAGGAAATATTAAGAACAAATTGTTATGTGAACACATCCACGGATTTCTCATATATCTCAGGCAAAAATAATGAAACAAAAATTAATGAAGAAAAAAAAAACTGAGACCAGTGGATGAAAAATGCCACCCAAACGCCTCCTGAAGGGGCCCCACCCAAATGCACCCTCAACAAGATTACCTGCTGGTTGGTACTGATAGGGCAGTGCTACTATGAGTGTAAAGCGATGACCATAAGAAATTTTCATGAGAAAGTGTTGATGACCTGATAAAAGTCAGGATTGAGATGTGAAAGACAGCCCAATATGGGGCAATATACCAGGTCTATTCAAAGAAGCATGCTTGATGGCTGTGAGCGATAGCACATGGGCACAGACAGTCCACACATGTGAAAGGAATCAGAAACTGCACTGCAGCAAGGAGCTTTAATATTCTGATCTGCACTGCTGGCCATGTGATGTATGGACTATGAGCACATAGGAGGCTTCCCACAGTGATTATACTTATATTTTTGGACCAACCATCTGATGAATGATTATTATCTGGAGTAATCATTATTTTGCTGAGTTTTCCACATCCACAGATATTTGAAAGATATGCTGATTAATCACCAGCATCTGGTGAGTTAGCACTTTGATGGGGTGTTGAGCACAGAGGATTTCACGGTTGTGGCGAATATATGTTATGTGAAGAAATTATATATATGGACTACACTTTAATATGGACATTTTTTTGAGTATTTTTGATATTTCACAAATTTTTTTAGTCATTTATTTTTTGGTACAATATTGGCACTTTATTTGGTGGCAGTTTTTCTTTTTCTTATATGTTTTGTATGTTTATATATAAAATTTATATATATTTGTTATTATTTTTTAATTTAATAAAATGTTATTTTATTTGAGGGTTGAGAGCGCTGTTTATGGTATTTCCATTTATTTCACATGCATGATCCATGATTAGATTTGCAATACCATCTCTGATATATATGTATTGTAACTTTACATTTATTTTTGAAAATTGTAAAAATAAAATGTCATACTGTTTTTATAAAAAATCTCTTTTGAATTGTTGAAATTTATGCCGTTAAAGTCCCATCAAAAAAGAAGACTTTTCCCCCCCTTGTATTCGTTAGGGATGTTGGCACTTTGTGTATTATATCCCTTCTTCTCTCTTACTTCAGGTTTAAGGGTGACATAATTTGTTGGTAAACATTTCAATGAAAAAGGGGTAACAATGTTATTAGTTGGCAAATATATCTTCAAAAATATTTGATGCGTTATGTTCAGTGTTTCAAAGTATAATGAAATGAATGAAGGATTACCTAAAACAACTGTGTATGTAGTTTAAAAAAAAATATGTTGAAATATTGATTCTAACCTTTTATTTAAAGCAGAACTCTGGTCAAAACTTTTATTTGGTTAAGTGCTTGTTTTGTCCAGGAGTTTAGGGAAAAGTTATACTTACCTGGCCTTCTGATCCTCCGGAAAATTGCACTCCCCCACATTCAGCGGTGGACTGTTCCTGCTGTCCTCACGTCTGCAGCTGGTCTCTGAGCATGATGATGCCAGGAACATCCTATTCACAAGGCCACTAGTGGGGGGCAGGAGCAGCAGGGACTGACCTTGCGCTCGGAGGATAGGCAGATTAGGTAAGTATATCTTTGCTTTTCAAGCCCATAGACAAAAACGAGCATTGCATGCAGTGTTTTGTATAAAATGCAGCCTCTTTTATCTCTGCATTGCTGTAAGTACTGGTGCCTGTGTAACAAATATCAATATGTATGTCAAACCACAAACTTTATTCTAGTTTTGGACAGAGTGAGGAAGGATTAGAAGCCCGTTCATATTTCTACAGCTGTATTGACTCCATTAATGAGATTTACCCTTACTTCCCGTCCTAGTAACAACAGTTTATTCAAACAGGAAGTGAGGGAAAATCTGCAACAGGAAAACAGACAGAAATAAAGTGTGACAAGGGTGCTAACCCTCCATGCTCCAGTAAAACCATTTTAATTTTTGGCTGTTTTGGTATTGGAGCTCCTTTGGCTTACTGTTTGGTAAAGCATTGTCAGCAGGACAGAAAGTGAGATTAAAAAAACCTAAAAGGGATTCTATTTCTTTTCCACTCTTCCCAAATATAACATTTTTTAGGCTGTCATACACTTTACATGATTGACAGATGCTGAAATCATGTATAACTAATATTTTTTAATGTTACTATAACTGATATTGACAATATGGTCTAGTTGATCTCAACAGCTTTAATAGTAAGACAAAACTAATACATGTTTTGGGTCTTATGACTCACATTTCCACTATAAAAGGGCAAATTCTTACACATTTGATACATGTCACTTTGGTACATGCCCCTCTTACTGAGCTTTGCATCTTTATCAGGGCATTTGGGGTTAAATGACATACCCGGTTATGAAAAATTAAGTCCTGCCCCTTTTGTCTAAGACCTGGGTTTTTATTTTTGCTACAAGGCCACAGCAGGTACAAAACACTGCTACCCTAGAACATGCATATAGCTTAAAATTAGCTTAAATTTAAATGCCTTGTCCCTCTTAACTGTCATTAATAACCTGTCATTGCGGCCAGTTTGATCAGATAACTTCACTCCTAATTTCCTACAGAAAATGAACAAACAGAATTGCAAAAAACTGGTATAATTATAATAGTTGGACTGACAATTGCAAAATAGAAATTGAAGCTGCAAAAACCTATGATAGACTCACTCTGTTTTTTTCCTGAGCCTGGAGGCACCTGATAATTTTGTTTCTGATCAAGCCTAGTACTTTAGAACCTGGCAATGCAAGTATTAATACATTTTTTTTTTAAATGTAGTAGAGTACGTCACTGCTCATAGCCTATGTTAAAAAAAATGGCAATACTTGTACAGTTTGAAGAAAAGCTTTTAATTCTGCTAATGTATT